TTTTAATAATTTATATTCCAAATGATTACAAATATTTAAATTTTTTACCCAAATTTTATCCAAATATTAGCTAATACTCCAATAAATTTTTGCAATTTGATATCCAAATTTTTGCGGATCCCTGATACTGACATACTACATATCTGCTTCGCTATACAAAATTAAGTAGCCAATTAGAAGGCTATAATCAAACCGGTTCAGATCAGTTTATAGTTTTTGGTTCAATCTGTGGTCTGAAGGTTAAACTGGTCTTTTTAAACTGAGACCAGACCGAACCAGACTATAACATTCCTAAACCCGAGTAGGGATATAATAGAAGCTTTTGATAATACTGCGGAATGGAACTTGGATAGCACCGGTCCTGGAGTATTGTTTGGACTAGACCTCTTGAGGTAAGAGGTCGACCAGGGTAGCCACCAGAGTCACACTAGAGGAAAAGGACATGTGTTATGAAATCACATACTAGAAGTTTGAAGTTCAAGGGCATATAAAGCCAAGATAAACCAATCTTGTTCCAGGCTAACTAACTGGAATCGAATATTAAGCCAAGGAGAAGAACCTAAAAGAGAAGTGAAGTGGGCATCAGGGTGAATGTGAATCCTATAAGGGTAGAGGATGTGTAAAGGTAACACCCAAGTACTAACTTCGGTTTAAAGGTATAACATTTCTAATATCTAATCTGAAGTGTGTGAAATACAGAAGGGTTATGGCAGGCATATGCAGTCTATGTCTATCTAAGTAAGATAATTAGTTTACCAAATATAGATAAAGTAGATAGCAGTGCTAGATATAAAGGTACTAGGGTTAAAATATATATTGGGTATGGACCAGTTAGATTAATTCAATACTGTAAATGCAATTTGTACAAGGGTCTTTGTGATCTTTGATATCTAAAATATCAATAAACTCTAGTTTCCGAACACTTAACAAAAAAAATAAAAATAAAAAAATTATATGTTTGGTTTTTAAACCTACCTAATTAATAAAACATAAAAATTTTTTTTTGAAATTTTCAACTTTTGATCTGGTTGAGTTATGAAAACTAATTAGAAGACATTCATAATTTACGTTAAACAGTACAGTATTGTATAAAAATAAAAACCTTGAAAATAATTCTATATACAGTCAACTCTTTTTAAATGCATAGTGTTGGGACCATAGTAAAAATTTTTAAAAACATGCATTTAAAAAGGTTATGCATTTAAAGAGTTAAAAATCTATAAGTGTAATATTAAGTTGGGCCAAAAAAAAAGACATGCATTTAGAGAGATTTTATATAAATATGCATTTAGAGAGGTCTAACTGTAGTATTATTTTTGTATTATCTTTAAGTTCCCTTAATTAATTTTGCATGGCCAAATTCGTGTGATTTGATTAGTTGGCAGTTAATGTCATGTAAATTTGAACTGTCAACTGTCCACGGGGACATCCTTTAAAAAGTATACTGTATATACTGTTAAATTAGTTATTTATCCTGATCAGCCAATCGGACGAAAGTCTGACTATGAAACTCGAATTCCGAACAATTTTTGGATTTGGTACGACGTCGATAAAATTTATAGGTTAGCGTCTATCGCTATGTTTTTTATAAAAAGCGTTTAAGAAAAATAAAATAAAATCTCGTACGTACGAACTTATAGCAGCAATAACAATATATAGTAATCTTTATTCACTAATTTAGTGCATGACTTCTACAGTCAGCTGATTCTATATCTATTGGTATATATATGCATGCAAAACCGAGTTTTAACCCTTTCCTTTGACTAACGAACGGATCAACAATAATGTCTTCCGAACAACCTCTACATGTTGTTATACGCATCCCGTATAAAAGACCTCCGGGCTTTGTAGAGCCTCCCTCCGTAAGCCTCCTACTAGTTACTATTCAAATAAATTGATAACTTTAATCTTTCTCAACTTTAGATTATTTGGACTGAAGAAATGGAAAAAAGGTTATGGGAAATACTCGCTCAAAAAAATATAGATTGTTAGTAAGTTCATTGCCTTTAGTCATTCAGAGTTAAAATTTGCCTTACATAGAAAGGATATGCTGATTGCTTATGAGGCAATTATATTGGAAACAGGGAATTCTGCTTCTCAACTCTTAAATGTACCAGCACCTTATCTTCTGCGTCATGCTGCTTTTTTATATGAAACACAACTTCGTGATGTTCAAATGCAATTACGTCGAGGTGAAGCGGCATTGAGTTCTAGCAATATCAGTAGTTCACATGGGAATCGTAACAGATCTTCAAGTTGTAAGTTTTAAGCAATTTAGATTATTTATCCCAATCGTTAAATATCAAAAAATAACCATTCATGTAATATGTAATAATATATGATATACAGTAATAGATACTGGGAGTCCTAGACCACTATCTGCTCTGTCTAGCGTAAGCAAAGAACAATTTACATCATCACGTGGAGCATATACAAGTTCTCAAGATATGATGCGAACTGGAAGTAATACCAGTTTGTCTGAGGGAAAAAAATTAGCTAGTGGTTCAACTTCTTCTTCCATCACTGTAACTCAATCTTTAAATGAAGGTACAGAATTTTCTTTTATTTTACTTGTTTAATGATTTTCTTTTTGTTAATATTAATTTTTACTAATTTTATATTTAGCAAAACAAACTCAAGTCACACCATCCCCTCTCCAGACTGGTTCTCCAACTTTTTCTAGACGACCATTGTCTACCTCTTCTTCTGTTTCAACTATTACTACTGTTGACCCTGTTTCTAGGCAACCTGCTCAAATGACTCCTAGGCAAGATGGTTTTCCTACAACGAACCTATCTACTATAGAATCTTCCACTACAACTTCCTTTGCAACCCCTGCTGCTTCACTGACTATGCCGTTATCTCGAACTTTATCAAACCCTTCATCACCTGGTACTCAAGATTTATCAGGAAGTGTCATGATTCACACTGCTGATCCTGACATTGATTACACTGATGAATTTTTAGAGGAAAATGATGATAATCTAAGGCAAAGTAATGAATTTTCACTTAGTGACAAATTGGCTCGGCTGAATACCCAAGCTGGTCCCGCTTTCTTACCGATTGGAATCAATCCGCCGAATCCAAGGCATCATGATATTAATTTTAAAATTTTACCTGAATTATCCGATTCGACGGAAATTAGAGCTCCCATGACTTATTTGAGTTCCAATTCTCAGCTTTCTAACATTGCAGAAGGTTTACATGAGAATTTGTTTTTGTCTTGTTATTAAAAAAGAATTTTGAGTGTGCCGTTTATATGTTTATATTCCTTTGAATTTTAAAGGTCTCCAACCATCTAAGAAGAATGAATTTAGTGCCCATGGTTCTGCTAACTCATCTTCTTCCCTCAGCGATCTTAGTATTGGTCTTGGTAATTATGTTTACAACATGTATATTGTATTATTCATTTATATCCTAATAGATTATATACATTAATACATATATACATATTGTTGTTGTCTATATTTTACAAAGACTCTGTGACTCTGTCTGAAATGGGAAGTGCATATCTAGAAGATTCAAAGCTGTGAGTGAACAAAAAATTGGGTTGTTTCAATTTTTAATATTTCACAAACAATTAATCATTATATGTGATTATTAGTTCTCTTCATTCTTCTAGAAAAAATTCTCATTATCAAGGTTTATAATTAACATGTAAAAGCCATTTTTAAACTCTGAAAGTTTGAATAAAACAAAAAAAAAAAAGAGTATAACAATAATTATTTAATAATTAAGGGGTTAATATCCATCTAATTTATAATAATTTATATTTGGAAACGGCTGTAATAATAACTCTTTATTTATAATTATTGGTTTTAAAGCAGCATGCCAAATTCTGTGTGTGCTAAGGTATAATATTACTATTTTTTTTTTTTTGTAAATGTTCCTGTATATTTATTGTTAGAAGAAAAGATATTATTCTTTTGTTTAACTAATAATTTGATACTTTTTAAATTAAATTTAAAAAGCTATAATATTTAATAAACAAGCAAAAATAATTTATTAAATAAGTTTATACGATTTTAAAAAAGAATTTTTTTAACTTATATATGTTATATTGATTAATGCATAAAAAACACGAATATGTTAGTGTTAGTATTTAGGGTTGGGGTCTGAGAAGGGGTGTAGAGCATTTTTACTTAGGACATTGCATTGATTGATTAATTAGCCAGTTTTTGAAATAATATAGGTAAAAGTCATAATTTTATTAAATTTGATTAAGTTTTGTTAAGTTATTTTTGTTTAAAGTTTTTAAAAAACTTATTAAAAAATATTTGCTTGGTTTCTATTGACTCAACCCTATATACAAAAAACGATTTACGTATCGTTCCTAATAGGGTTCTTAAAGGAACCCCGAAGCCAATTTCTTATGACAATGATTGTTAGGGTAGTTAGAATCTCTATTGTATATGTTTAATAGCCCAAAATTAAACAAGATCACGTGATACTAATGATCACTTGTCCAGAAAATTATATATAAATATTGTACTGTATAGTAGCTTATTTAATAAGTTTATACGAAAAAATTTTATTTTCAAAAATAAAAAAAATTTATAACAGATAACTAATAATACTGCTTTATGATCGTAGATCGAAGTTGGCCACGTCACGGGTAATTCATTTATCAACTACAGTAACAATTACGGTTAGTCATAGAATTGATAAGGTATCGTTAATAAAAACTGTTGGCATTCTTTACAATTTGAAATTTTATTTTGATGAAAACTTTTAAGTTAGTAATTATTTGTACATATTCAATATAGAACTAACGTATCAACTTTGTTCAATGTATCTGGTTAGTCGCTAAATCACTCTCTTGATTTGAAAATGAAAATAACGAAATTTAATAATTTATAACATTAGATTTAACAAATTTTATTGGTTTTTTTTTGAGCTTGACACTATTGACGGAAAATGGGACATGAATTTGGGTTTTGGTTATTATCCCAAATGAAGTAGGAATCACAACTCCCAAACCTAAAACTGTGTACTAATGCCATGATTCAAAAAAAAAGGGTTGGGTCGCGAACCCCTAAAAATGTGATTTTAAAAATTTTAGACAAGAGTATCATATGGGATAGGTGTGATAGTCGTTGGAAGGTTCTTGTTGGTTGAGGCAAAACGAGCAGTTCGAGGAGCTAGGGGTTGTCTCTTGAGGTTCACCTTTTCTGTATTCCAAAACATAATATTCATTATTTGGATGGATACTTTCAGCAATTAGTTAATTACAAACCATTTTTTGCCCTAGCTTCTTTTTTCTTAATTGCATTTTCTTTAACACGACGTAAAAAGTCATCTCTGCATTTCGAATGTTTGATATGCTCAATGCGAACGTTAACCCGTTTTTCAATGTAACGATTGCCAACACGTTTGTTAATGATAACACCGACAGCAGATTTTGTTACATTATAAATGATACCAGTGCGACTAAATAATAAAAAGATATAAGTCAATAATTTGAAAAAGTTGATCCATGTTCCATATGGATACATAAAAAAAATTCTTACCCATGATAGAACTTGTGAGGCATACCCTTTTGGACAGCACCGTTGGCCTTTATGTCAACGATATCGCCGACCTTATATATTTTGAGGTAAGTTGAAAGCCTAATAGCTCCATGATCTCGAAATTTACGAGAGAACATGTACCGCGTACGAGCGCGGATACCATAAGAATGCGGCATTGTTAATTTTATTAAAAATTAAAAAAGATCAAACTCTAATTATTAAGTCGGCGGAAAAGAAGGAATAGCCATTGGTTAAAGTCCATCAGTTAAAATATTTTCATCTTTTAATTTTGATTGGATACACCATGTGATAGATAAAAAAAATTTTTTGTTCAAAGTACAAAAAGGTAGAAACAAAAATCTAGGCAAATTATCTCTATTTCTTTTATCCAGAGGAATAATGCCCGGTGCTGCAAGGAATTGTATTTAATGAAACTTTCTTTTCTTTTTTTTTTTTTTTTTTTTCTCAACTTGGGTTTCCGGTTTAGTGGCTGACTTTTAATGTTTCAACGAAGAAATTCACCATGAAGTTGTAATTCTGAGCCTTCCTATAGATATAAGGCTCTGCAATTTAATGGTGTTTATAACCGGACAGACTGTATCCTTTATCTATTGAATTAAGTTGGATGTTTTGGTATTTTTTCTTTTTTTCTCAGAAAGTTTCATAAAGAGAGAGATAGCAAACTCTCTGGACACGAACGAATGCGAGTCTGATCCACCGCTCGGCCATATTTAAATAGTGGCAGAAGAGTGGATCTCTGATTGCTATGTGCATCAAAGGGAAAGCTTACGTGGTGGATACATTTTAATCTCATTGAGATTAAAAGTCCCGGATCTTGCTTTACCCAATGTTTTGTTTCTTCTTAATTAGGTTCAAAAACTTACAAGGTTCCTCGTCGTCCATTTGAAAAGGAACGAATTGATCAGGAACTCCGTTTAATCGGCGAATTTGGTCTTCGAAACAAACGTGAAATCTGGCGCGTAGCTTATACACTTTCAAATATTCGTCGTGCAGCACGTGAATTGCTCACATTAGATGATAAAGATCCTCGCCGACTTTTCGAAGGAAATGCTTTGATCCGAAGACTTGTTAGAATTGGTGTCTTGGATGAGACTAAAATGAAACTTGATTATGTCTTGGCTTTGAAAATTGAAGATTTCTTGGAACGAAGGTTACAAACTCAAGTTTTTAAACTGGGTTTGGCCAAATCAATTCATCATGCTCGTGTTCTCATTAGGCAACGTCATATTCGGTAATTATTTTTCTTACTCATTGAATTTTCTCTTGCTATATGCATAATAACTTTTTTTTATTTTTATTTTTGTTTATTAAGTGTTGGAAAACAAATAGTTGATATTCCAAGTTTTATTGTTCGGTAATTACACATTCCTACACTTACTTCAATATACTTCACAGACTTTACAATTCATTTATATTTATGATATTTATGTAGCCTTGACTCTCAGAAGCATATTGATTTTGCCCTTACCTCACCTTATGGTAACTTTTAATTTATTACTTTTGTTGGGATAATATATGACAAATAAAATTTCATTTTTATAATTTTTAACAGGTGGTGGTCGCCCTGGCCGTGTAAGAAGAAAACGTCAACGAAGCGCTACTAAAGGTACCTTATTTTTTACAATCAATTATTTTTATTTGAAATATTATAAGATGGTGTTACTGACCAGCTTTCTTTAGGTGACGAAGAGGAAGAAGACGTATAAACTAATGAATGAACCAAATTTTTAGATAAAATATGTAACTTATAGTTGTACTACACAAATGGGAGCTTGCTCTCACGATTAATAAAAAGACAACCAAAATAATGCGGTTCCACATTCCAATTATAATATTTATAACTATTTAATCAGAGCAGATTCACTTATCTTTATACAGAATGTTAATTCGTAATAAAGTTATAATAAAAACGTATAAAATTACTAAATTAACTTATTACCAAGTAGACCCAAGTAGAGATTTACTGAAATACAGGATCACTGAATTTTATCCATTATCCGTGACCCGGGTCGGGCCAATTTTTGACCTGTGACCTACTAGTAAAAAATTTATACAATCAATGAATAACTTCCAGTTCCCGTGGGTACTAGGAAAAAAAACATAGCTATCGTTATAAGCCCGTGATCGCATTTTTTTCCCTTATATGTAATATTTTTTAAAAATTAGGCTTTTCTTTTTAATTTGGGCCCCTAAAAATTATTTATTGATTTATTTCGAATCTTCTATAAACGATTTCAATTTATTTCGACCAATCAAACTAGGTTAAACAAGAATTTTATTTCAATTCTATTTAAAATATAAAATATTGAGCATTCGAAGAGAATTTTCACTTAAATTTTTTCTGTCCTCATTTAAAATGTTGTTATAAACGAAAAAACTACGTTCTCAAAGAAACTAGTATAAAATTTTTTTTTATTGTTTGTCTCGTCCAATAATATTTTTTCATGTGATTTAAGTACACCAGCGAAGGCACCAAGAAATAACGACTCCGACGATAACGGCTCCAATAACGTGACTCCAACGAATGATAACACCAGCAGCGACGATTCAAGCAGACACAAAACCAACGACTACAGTAAATTCATTAGTAAAAAGAAAAACAATGATTATAACCAATTTGTACAGTAAAAAAAACTTATCTATGCTGATTCTTGTAACCTGTGATATCGCAACCTGCTACAAATAAAAAAATTTCACCAAAAAAAAAACCACATTATATATAGCCTTAAGAATAAAATTATTGAGCCTAAGAAAAAGAAATCACAAAAATTAAATGTTATTAAATCGAACAACGAGATCAAGATCACAAGACTTAAAAAAAAAAAAAATTGATTGTCCTTGCTGGAATCGAACCAGCGGTTTCAAAGTCTTAAGACCAAGAATCCAACCAACTTAGGACCCTTAAAAAAAAAATAATAAAAAACCTCGGATAGTTTTTTACATGACGCCAGTATCCAACTATAGCGTCAAAACCTTAAAACCTTGGAACCTGGAAAATCTCAAACCTTTGGAACCTCGGAATAAGGAAAAGGAACTATATCCTATTGAGGACCTCAGGAATAGAACGATACGAAACTTAAGGATGTCGTACCCACACTCATGTCTCATTTAGGTGTAAGAGACCAAGAACCCCCCTGAAACATAAGCAACATAGAGAACCGTGACGTCGAGGACCGGCAGGATTAAAAGCCCCCAATTGAAATTAATTAACAAAGTTGACTGGATCGTCCTAAAAAATTTGCATTAAACAATTTTGTTGGCAATTTCAACAGGTTTTCTGATAGGTGTTTAGGTAAGTAAAAATAGGCCACTTGTAAATAATTTTCAATCTTTTGCAAAACCTTTTACCGCAACAAGGAACATTTAACCCTTCTTTTAGAATCAGTAAACTTGTGCAGAAGAAAAAACTCAGTTTTGCAAAAATTATGAATACTAATACCCGAAAATGAGCCCGATGCCATTCTTACTTTAGATTAATCCGTCCTAGACCAAGATCTCCACCGGATATACATTACTTTATTGCTGCAGGCAGGCATCAGATGGAGTCCTAAAAAATATATTTTGAATTGTTTTTAATTTATTTTTCAAACTCAAATTTCAAAACAATAAAATATTAATGTTATACTTACTATTTAACAAGAAAATGTTTAGTGGAGCTTCAGATGTAAAGAGAAAAAAAAAAACAATATTAACGACAATGTTCACTAAAGACAAAACTCAAATGAATAATAAAAGGAAAATACTGTATGTTTGAGAAGGTGTGTTGTCAAAGAAATCAGTTCAAACAAATATTTATACATGAATATACGCGTAAATTACATTATGTGATTGATCCTCATATATTCAACCAATTAGCATCACAGAAGTGAACAGTAATCATGCTTAGTGTAGCGATTTTAATGATCTTAACCGGCTAAGCCGATAGAATCTATCGGCTTGGTCATGGCCAAAAAATTATGCTCAGCCAGAATCACTAGCTTAGTGTTAACGTTAACTAATTACAAAATGAGAGTATATAGTTGATATATATACGGTATATATATATATAATAAATTATATATACTATGCAAATCCAAACATAAGATGTGTAAGAAGACTTTAATAAGATTAGTAATCTTATACTGTATAAAAAATATTCTTGTTTTTAATTTTATATTAAATACATTTTTGTTATATAAATCTATATAATACAATTATTCATAGCACTAAAAAATTATCAATAATACAATATATTATATATGTAAAATATAATATCAAATTTATTAAACACTAATGAAAATGTAGCCTAGTTATTTATATATATAAAATAATTAAGGTTTATTACGAAATTTGTTTTAAGCTACTAATTCTGTAGTTAGATTTGTAGTGTGAGCTTTC